ATCCGTTTAATTTATGAATATATCTCATGCATATGTTCATACTACATCTGGTGGCCTCGTACGCTTCATAAATGGACTGTATTCGCGTAAGAATTGAATTATCATGTTGGCATGAAAAGTGCAGATTCTGCTGTGAAAAAAGTGCAGAGAATCAGCTGCTGTGAAACGCAGCGTTTTGAGCTGCGATACTTGGAGAAAATACAGCATGTTTGCAGCTAGTGATGTTTTGAAAGCTGAACTTGTGAGTCCATGAGTCTTTATGAAAGCTGAAATTGTACGTCTGTGGTGTGTGACAGATTTGCTGAGCTGTGGAAACGTTGTTCTGTTTGACAGTTTAAAAGACGTGACTCTGGTCCGGCTCGGTTCTGATGAATTCGAACGAGTTGTTTTAAATGGTTGGAAAGACGTTTTTAAGACCGGGGCGCCGCCTCCGTGCAGCTGAGAAGCTTACTGGTTACATTTTTAACAGAAAATAGTGCATTTTGACAGTTTAAAAGACGAAAAGTTGACGGACTTTTTCAGGCTAATGCTAACAAAGCTAGCTGGAAAAACAATCCGTGATTGGTTGAAAACGGCCTTGTGTAACGCTTTGATTGGCTGAGAGACGTGTCTGTCGTCACTAAATCTGATGTCAGCGACGTAAAGCCCACCCCCGTGCTGTTATGATTGGTGGATTCAGTCACGTGACCCGGAAATGAAACTCGTTTTCATAGGGAATTTCAATCTGCTTTTTAAAGTTGAAAAACGCTTTAAAGTTGCATTCTGATCCGCTGCTCCGTTTCTTTGAAGCCTAATCGCTGAAATTTTGCCACGTTTCAGTTTGAAATCCGTCATTAAATGGTGTTTTTGGACCACGCTAGCCGATGCTAATTTTAAGCTAACAGCTAACGACCGGATGAGTGACGTGTCGCGTCACTTCCTCTGATGTCAGGTTGTAAAGTTCGGTTGTACCGAACCTTCTCTGTGCTTAAAATCACTAAATAAATTTGCCACATGTCCCTAAAAACTCATGTTCATGCAAAAAAGTCGTGCTTGTTGAAACAACGCCACGTTTAAGCTTTAAATCCGTTCAGAAATGTTGATTTGACCGAGTTTTAGCCGAAGCTAACTTTAAGCTAAGCGGCTAACGACAGGATGTCAACAGAACGTCCACAGGAAGTTGTCATAGGCTCCTGCTGGTAGAAAGCTAACACCGCCACCTGCTGTGAAAGAGGAGTATAACAGTTTTTCTGAAGAAAGACTGAAACTCCTCATAACATTTTTCCTTTTTCTATTCACCACCTGGTTCTATGAGTAACTGTTAAAATAGCGAATTTATGGAAGTAAACGGTTTAAAAAGCGTTTTTAAACTGATGTTGCTGTGAGACTTTTTAGAAAAATTGCAGGTTTATAAAAATTCAGTGCTTTAGAGTAAGAAACACTGAGAAGCTTGGTAATCTAGTATCTGTTAAGAAATAAGCACATAAAAAGTAACACTGCAGAGAAGCATTTACTTAAATACTCATGAATTGGGGTAAAACCTACGAAATAGGTGCCCACATTTGAATAAGTTGACTTATAACAGTACTTTTGTGTAAACCCAGAGCTTAAAATAGTGTGAAACTCAATGACACTTGAATACAAATATTTACCTGTAAAATAATCTGAAGCTGGCAACTGTTTTAACCAGATAAAGGCTACACAGTGAATACCATGACAGGTGTGATAAAAAAAGATTTTGATCCTTATGAGATGAAGGACTGTTTAGAGGATGCGTTAGCACTGCTGACAAAATCCTTACATCCATATGATAAACAGGTGAACAGCATGAACCCAAAAGAGTTAGTGGACAATCTGATGGAGGTTGCAGGGAGTGTGACCTCTACAGAAATTACAAAGTCACGTTATGATCAGCTGGCTAAAATTGCAATTTTGCTGAAAGAATCATTCTATGCAGTTGTTGAGAAAGCTGATGCCCTTGCAATAAGGTTATACAGTGAAAAAGAGGCAGTTCAGGAAATTGAAGAACACTTCCTTCAATTTAAAAGCGAACACGAGGTCCTCACAAGAAAACATTATGAACAGATGTTTCAATCACAGCAAGATGCACGTGCAGAAGTTGATTCAATGAACAGCAAAATACAGTTACTTGATGCATCACTATCTGAAGCCAGGGATGCTAAAGAGCTGTTGTCCAGTGAATACTTTGCATTAAGACGGGATCACGACGTGACAGTGTCACAAGTTTCCCGTTGCAAAGGTGAAATAGATGTGCTTAAAACACAACTTAACGAATGCAGACTGGTAAAAGCGGGATTACTCCAACAATGTCTGCTTTTACAAAGTGAATGTCAAACATCACAGGAACGCCTGAAAGCTTGTGAGGAGAAACTAGTGTGTAGAGAAATACCTCCACCCTCACCTACAGTGGTAGGCACAGACCTGAACAGGTCTCCTCCACCTAACATGCAACAGAGTGCATGGAAACTTCCTCTT